AGAGAGAGAGAGAGAGAGAGAGAGAGAGAGAGAGAGAGAGTAGTTCTCTGTAGGGTACGCAAACTGCAAATGAGTTACTGGCTACTCGTGGTGTGTGTAGATAGCAAAGGACCAGAAGCAGATCAGATCACCTGACGGAGTAAATCGACTATTATCCAAACATCGAGACAGCGCGAAGGGGTAAGTCAATACAGGGTGAAATGCACATTATACAACGGGAAGAAGAGAGTAATAGTCCAATGTGTCCAGACAGACTAGTTGTTTTGTAGATGAAAAGCAAGAAGAGGCAAGAAGTTTGAGGTTGACTTTAGTGATGCAACAAAGTATGGTGCTCAGTTAGACCGGATGCATAATATCCCAGCGAACTGTAATAAGACTAATCATGCTTTCTTACATTCTAAGTTCATAGCTTATTGTAGGTAGAAATGATTTTATAAACCTCACACACATTTTGAACTGGAAGACAGAATAAATCCTATCGTTCAGGTACAACTGATCAGTTCTATTTTCAAACACACAGGTCATGTAGATTGACCAACACATTGATTTATTTTCGATTAGCCACGTGTTTATCATTCATTCAAATTCTAACTTGGATACTAAGGGCTGGAACTACGAACAGGGTATGAAATTAATATATGCGCATTGTGTCGGTGACCGGAAGCAAAATGAGAACACAAGTCAAACCCAGGAACGATCTATACACACTCAATGGGGTGAATTCATAGCGGTTTACAACCTGGTACACTAGATATCAATCTTAACGTGGATGGACAGTGAAGAAAAAACACGACTGGAGAACTTAGTCGAGTGGGTCATGCTAGATTTTTCGGTTAAACGGCCTTCGGACTAGCTTCATCCATAATCAGAGAGAGGAACCTGGTGATTACTAATTTACTGCTCAACGCTGTAAACAGTGGTACTCGTGCACCCACGCATTTTCAACGCATACTCCGTTTACCCGCATATTGGTTCTTTCCTTTGGCACTATACTCAACTTTTCAACCCCTCCGTTTACTTCTTCCTGGTTGAACGATCGAATGAGTACCTAAAATCGGTACAAGGCTTAAGACCATGCAAACCCAGAGACCGTATGAAAGTTTCTACATTTAGAAAATGAAAAACCTAGAATCTCCTCATCATGTGTTCCGAAATTGGTGATATATATACCTCGCTATGAGAATTTTAGTACCGTTTTCCTGCTGCGAATCGTTTTGGGTGTTTATGGCTGAATAGTGACAGGTGTACAATTATATTGATCGACCCGAGTGCGCTTTGAGCATTAAGGGAGTCCGAGACACAGATACGAAACAACAGTTGGCGACCAGCTACAAAAAATGGACCACACTTGAAATCCAAGATGTTTGAGTAAATTTTACCTATCGTATCACAACGCATGCATTTCGTCCCACTGATGAAGTGGTGAAATAAAACGAACACGCAAAATAAAAAATCAATAGAGAGGAACGAAGAAAACGTACATCATCGTTACCCAATAGGAGAAGCGTATCTCTCACATGCACCAACGCATTTAACACGGCAATCGATTGACCGGACTGGATTGGTTGTGAGAGATCGGAAAACAAATTCAATGTGGACAACTGGCCAGACGCTTTGAGAGAACTCNCTCGTGGCTTTTGAACCCATCGCACCCAAAGCGCCAAACAGTCGGCTTAGACCACCTGAGGCTTGCCGGGGCTCATCCGATGTTTGATCCTTCGGCACGGCTTTGATATCTTTCAGTACAAAGTCTGGTTCACAGCGAGCATGGGCTAACAAACGATCGTAAAATAGTTGGATCAAATTGAGTTGAACTCGTAAAAATCGGGTACGAGATACACGATCCGTCAACTGACGACCACGTAGACCAACCGCCTGAAGCAGAGCGACAAAGTCCTCGGCACATTGTGGTCTGGGAGCAATAGGTACACGAGCGCAAAATACGTAAACGACTTTTTGGCGAGCCGAAGGGAGAAGGAATTAGCGATGAAATGCACACCATGTAGAGGAGAGACAATGAGTTGCTCCGGATGGGAAGAATACAATGGTGCAAACCAACACGAATGTGCAATTAGTAGCTTACAGAGGCGGCAGGATGAGAAGTTTAAAATAAACGCAAAAAATACAAGAGAATATGAGATAGAAAGTCAGAGAATTTGACAAATGACAACGTACAAAGTGAATCCGTTTCCTCGCATATCTGCTACTGTATTTCATGGCGGTTATTGTAGAGCCCAAACATGAAATTCCAAACCATTCTACCGATATTATTTTTACAGATTACACTCGATTGTTTACTGAGTAATGAGAATGGTTATGTATGAATGAAAATACTTGATTTTTTTTTACAAAGACTTACTTCTCGTTTCGCTTTATGATCTTGTAGCATCTTGAAAGTAATTTTCTACGTTTCCTCTTTTACATTTCCAACCGAGTCTATTTTTTATTTACAAAATCAGCCTCGATTGTTTAATCCATATTGTTTAGAGAGAAAAAACTTATAAACGCACTCAGTTTTGTTCTGAGATAATCACAGACCGATTCCGTCCAACATGAATCGACATCAAATGCCTGTTATCATTCAGCAAGACTGTAATACGTGTCTCAGTTTCCCGCGCGGTCAAGTTGAGTGAATTAACCCACAATTACGGTCTAACTACTTAATTACTTATCAGTAGTTAAACGATACATCCGAAAATCTTCCGTTCCCATGCTCCTGTTGATCGTTCAATACAACCCTTCACCTGCGCACCATCAACAGCTCACATGTAGGGTAGACCAAACAGATGGTGAGAGGAGGCACTGCGATGAAAAAAATGACGGTTTAGAATGAGACAAAGTAATTCTGATAATGGGTATGCATTTATTTCCCTCGTCCATAAGACTGTCTACAAGTGGCTATTAGCGGTTTACATCGACAGGTTATCGGATGGTCCGTAGAGGCATAGAGTCCCACAATTCCATGTGTTGAGATAAAACATTGTAACTGTTATAATAAATCTCTGTCATAGCATGCTATGACAGCGCCAGCGCTCGCCCACTCAATCCAGCACTGACCACGGTTTACCCGTTTTAGTAACAGGTGGCCCGGTGGTGGTAACGTAACCAAATTACCACCTCGGGGGACGTGTGTTCGAACCCCACCACCTGACTTTCCCCATGGCAGCCCTTTGATTGGCCACTTCTCCCTTCCTGAAAATTGTATCAATGCTTATTCAATAAAAGGAAGTAAAATTTAAAAAAAACCTCGTTCCATCCTCACTCAGCTGCGTACCGGCACAGCCTGTTTATGCTCTGTTTAGCGGGGTGTTTGGCTCGCGAAACGCTAAGCTTTCAAGAGTATGCAACGAAACAGAAATTTACCCTCCGATACCCATGTAGTATGTGCTTTGTTCGAAACGCGTGGGGTGTGATGGTGACGTATTCCACGGTATGGAATGAAAAAAGCAAAAGATTGGTTTAACTTTCTTCACTTCTTCACCGTTGTTCGACTAAATGGGCAACCGAAGGACGGTCACCAAACATGGTGCCTTATGGTAGCTGAAACTGGAACGGAAGTTTCTATCTGTGAGGCTATATGAATAATCGACAGTCTGTTTAATGTACGGCTACTATACATTCTGATGTGAAGTAAGATTATTTGATGAAAATTTGTCATTTCCTGGGGTATGTGCGAACCAATGCAATAGACAGCAGATGGCGTTCAGCCTATGGTACAGCAGAAACAAACAGAAGCGATTCTCACCGAGGATTCTCCTCTGAAATCATAGACCACGCGTTGGGCGCCGACAACAGTTCATCCAGACGTCCGGAGGCCAACTTCTTTTCTAACAAGAGCCATCGTGCAAACACTTCCGGCAAAGAAAGGATATCTGTCGGTTTCGGTTGGTCCGACGGATAAGCGAGCTGCGTAAGGCGTGCTCCTGTTTGCAGCACAATGTCTATCATATGGCTAAAATACTCCACATTATCAACCAGATCTCCAGATGGTTTCCGCTGAGTAATCGGTAGATCTAACGGACAAATGAAGGGGGTAGACGCATCCGCAGTGGAACGCAACTCGAACTTGAGAGCGAAACGGGACTGGTGTGTCTCACGAAGTCCCAAGTCGAACTCCAGCTTGTCCAGTAAAAGTCGAACCAACCCCCGCATGAATTCCACCTATAACGTTGAGAATGGACAGATGATTTTTTACGATATGATTATTTAATGAACCCAACCAGGTCGAAATAACTGTCCAGGGTTTCCAAGCTTTTCAGTTCACGAATCATTTACACCAAAAATTTCTCACGAATAACAAAAATGTGTTCCATATATTAGGGTGAATGACGTGGTGAACCACTATCCCTCATCACACTTCTTTCAGACTGTTGTAATTGTAGGTCGTTGTATACGTGCATATATTGGAACGGGAAAAGATGTAGAATATTTCTGAACATTAAAAAGCGGAACAAAACAAACTCTGAGGTTCCGTCAACTGTTCCGAAAGTACAATTACAATGTACCTTCAGTATGCCCTAGATCAGCAGATCAAACAACCGAGCCAATATCAAATACAAAAACCACATTCAACGACAAGAAGAGAAACAATTAGACAGCAGAATACACTGAACAGAAACGATTTCACTTCTCATCCATTTTCATCATAATAAGCCAGCCTAACACTAGAGAACTCCATTTATCTGATCCGTTGAAACTATATATGGATCACGAGACTATCTTGTCGGACACCTACCAGTTCGCATTCCACGCACCATTAGATATTCGTTCGGTTTAACAAAATGCGCAATCAAGAGACAGAAATGAAAACCAGTGCACGAATATGCATGGGTAATGGTTATCAGCACTAAAACTAAAACAATCTCACTAGCTATTTTTGTTAACCAATTTTCGCGACCTTTCACTGGCACTGCCCCAACTGACACTACCGATAACACCGATTCTTATGTTGATTCTGGCAGCTTGGGGCCTTTCGCTTTTGTTTCATCCGGACCACTGACTCCTGAGAAATCAAACATCATCGACGAACATTGGCCTCCGTCACACAAGCAAAGCTTGCTACCGAATACATCGAAAATCTAATCTCATCCCATTGTCGATCTACTCAATATAGCGGTCGTGTTCCCAGCCCCCGACTAAGTTGTTCACCATAACCAGTCCAAACAGCTGAGTCGCGCAAACCATGACGAGCTAACTGACGAGGTGATTCGCGCCGATAGTCGGTGAATCGAACCGTGAAGCACAGACGGATTACCGTGTGACTAGACTCATCGCAGGTGATCCAATAGGATCTGAAATTTTTATACCATATCACGCCAACGGTAGTTAACAGTCATGTGGTCGACTGGAGTTAACTTGTCAGTTGAATTAAAGCAACATGCTGCCGTCCGTCGAGGGCTGTGTTAAAAGCTGATAACAGATAGTAAAAATCCACGATCTGCACACAACTGAAGTAATCGCTTACTGTTGTCTGTTTTCTAAGTGAGAACAGCGAACCCACCACTCCGCCTAAACAGGCTTCGAATGTGCACAATCTTCTCACCTGAGCTTTGAAATTACCTACCAGCATTATCACCGTATAGCGGCGGATCAGTTCTACCACTTCGATGTATTTGTAGCGAAATTCGTCCTGTCATCATCAATTAGGACTGTCTATCTTCTTCTTTTTCATTTTAATTCCTTTTATTGAATATACAAAGATACAACAATTTTCAGGAAGGAGGAAGTGACTAATCAGAGGGCTGCAATTCAACACACAAAGGGGAAAGTCAGGCGGTGGTGGTGCTGGTGGTGGTGGTGATGGTGGTGGTGGTGGTGGTGGTGGTG